TTGTTTCTCTAGAGCAGCCTGGATCTCGAGAGAAGTATTCTTCCTCTGTTCAGCCTCTCGCTGGTCGGCAATCATGCGCTGCAGCTTCTCGTTTGCCTCGGCATCCTTCTGCTCAAGCTGCGACTTCTTCTCCGCAAGGCTGACACGCAGATCGCGAACCTTGTCGACGGTGTCGCGGAGCTTCTCTAGACCGACATTGAGATGGCGCTGCTGCTCCTCAAGATCCTCCCCGCTTTTCATTGTAAAGTTTGACGTATTGCGCAACGAAGTCAAGGAAATGCCTGGGCGTGAGGAAAGTGACCTTGCCTTGCTGCTTCTGTAATTTGACGTTAAAGCGCTGAAGAGAGTAGTGAATGTAAACCATGGAATTGACAATCCGCCCCGCGGTGCGATGGCGGCAAAGAGAGCCCGCGGTCCGCGACGGGAATCGAATCAGGTGCGTGGAAGTTGGGCCGATCCAGGTCAATGGAGTGGGTAAGCTCATGGCCTACTTGGAAGAGCGCCTGATCAGACCAGTCACCGAACCAGTTGAGCACGCAACGGTTGAACAGCGCTGGACTGGTGGCTGCTTTGGAACCGAGACCGTCTTCGGGTGGGTTCATGGTGAAGACGACGTGCAGGTTCTTCACAATCTGTTGTGTGAACCACTTGTAAAGCTCCTCCTGAGAATCAAGGTGCAGGTTTTGACGTTGAGCACCTTCCTTGCATGCCGTCATCAGGGCGGCAAAGTCGTCGCCCTCGAAGAGACCAGGAACCTCGGCGTTGGCCAGCAGGGTGTTCATCCGTTCCAGGAAACCCGAATCGAGAACATTGGACTCGTCCATGATAAAGCAGATCTTCTCCCCCTTGCAACCGCAGCGCCGCAGGACGTCGCGGAGGTCATCGTCGAAGTCTTCAGCAGAGTATTTGCCATGAACCTTGATCTGGAAGACCTTCAGACCATTCATCCAAGCTACGAAACGAGAGAGAGTTGTCTTGCCACTTCCACTGACACCGATGAGAATCAAATGGCCCTGAGGCTGGCGGAACACACGATCGATACGAAGAACATGCTCCAGAACGTCGTTGAAGAGAATGAGAGGCACGTCCACTTCTTCCTCGCAGAATGTCTTGAGACGAGCCTTGACGAAGTCTCGAAGCTGCTCGCGGTCCACAGGGACGTAGTTCTTTGATAGCCAGTTCGAGAACAGAATGGGCCCACCGAGAGCCTGCTGCTCGTCAATGCTGGGGAAGTACTGGGTTGCGATGCGCCGTACTGCCTCATCTGTCCACTGGCGTTCATCTTCGGCTACGAGACGATCTTGGAAAAGTCGCAGAGCTTCGTGCGCCCAAATACGGATAAGACCCTCCAAAGACAGATTCTCCAGCGGGCGTATCGCCTCGTAAATGCCGCGGGCCCATCGTGTCAGCTCACGAGGACTGTAAACATAGTGTGGCTGGATTTTGGGGGTGAAGCGTTGCTGAGATTCGAGGTAGAACTTAACCATGGCTTGCGTGAGTTGATCAGCATAGCCACGGAGCGTGGGGATGATCTTAAGAACGGCGGAGTTGAAAGTGCCGTAAATTTGCTGGAGAGAAAGCTCGCCAGGGTAGTCAACCATAATGAGAGGGGCGTGTCGCAGGAATCGGTCACCCAATGGAGTACGGCCAGCGTCGGTCGGCGGGTTGCAAGCACCTACAAACTGAATCCTATCAAGCGTGACCCATGACTTGTCAGATGTCCTCCAGAAGCCGTTATGTTCGACGAGCTGCCTAAGGAAAGATATGGCTCGTTGCGTGCCATACTTATCAGGCGCAGGAAGGTTGATTTCATCACAGAAGATGACCAACCACCTTCCAATCTGAGTAGGCGACAGTATCACGCCGTTCAGTGTCTTCTTGTATTCGCAGTGTTGCTCAAAGGTCTTGATCAGAAGATCTGGAGTGGTAGCACTTGAGAAGTTAAGGCCCACAACCTCCATGTTGGGAAGTTTGCGGAGAGCGCTGAACAGCGTCATTGTCTTACCCGAACCTGGCGGGCCGCAAAGAAGAAGGGGCTTGTGCTCAGCGAGCCAGGAGTAGAGCACATCCTCGTGGCGAACTGTATCCAGAGTCGGAATAACCACATCAGTCTGTGTGATGGAGTGAGTGTTGACCTCGATAGTAGGAACCTGGTTCTGCCACTGTGTCCACTCTGCCTTGGGAAGGGAGACATCGAAATCGATGAGAGAGCTGGCACCATCGAGAGGCGGTGAGCCGAAGCTTGCTAGACCAGCAACGGCGTCGCCGAAGGTTTTGCGGTCATTCAGCGGACAATCTCCAGTGAGAGACCAGACGAGAGCAAGCAGCAGCTTCTTGGAAACGTAGGCCTCGACTTGCTCTGGCTCAAGGGGGAAGTCGGAGTGCTGGGCATTGTACTCAATCATGTCTCGAACTGCCTTGTTGAGGAGCGAGAAGAGAGTATTCAGCACACGTGCCACGGTGAAGTCCATAATGTGGTCGTAGCCCCGAGCTTCATCAAGGGCTGACGAAATAAAGTCTTCGCCTGTAAGGTGAGAGTTGAGGAGATCGGCAACATGATTTTGGAGGGCGAGAGCCTTAGCCGGGCTCTGAGCCGACGCAACATTGTCTTCGTCAAGGTCCTCGAAAGGCTTGGTGCGAAGGGTCATCAGGTAGTTCTCGACCATCATCTGAGGAGAGACAGTGTCTTCACTGAACCATACCATACCACAACGACTGACAGTAGCGAGTGTAGCATACTTCAGGGTTTCAACCTCGAACATGATCCGAACGTTCGAAGGCAAGTTGAGACGCTCACCATTGGGAAGCGTCAGGAGCTTGTTGTCGTCGAGCACACTGTTGAGATTCTCAACCCACTCAGGGTCAACATCGCCATCAAAAACAATCCAGTGACGTTTCGAATCCTCACCACGAAGGTTGTCAACGATTTTGCGCAGAATACTCGTGAACAGACCGTCAGTCCATTCACGGGTGGTCGAGTCGAGATTGCCGTACAAGGCTTCTTTTGACATGACCTTGGAGTCGATGACATGATGTACGCCTTCAACGCCTTCGACTTTTTGCAGAGATCCAACAAAATCTTCCACGCCGCAGACTTGCCTGTACCGGAGTTTCCGACCATCATGACGCCGTGGTGAATGTTCTGAATCTGGTACAACTGGATAACCTTCGTCATCCATGTATCGTTGACGACGAGCTGCCTCTCAGCGGCCAGTGTACGGATGGCTTCCTCGAGCGCCACCAGATTAGCCGGGACATACTGTACACCGGGGAAGCAAACGTCCTCGACGGTCATCATGATTTCGACGTCGGACTTGATGAGCTTCGGCGCAATCGTTTCTCGAATGCTCTGCACGATGATTTCGGCCTCTACAACGTCAACGCCATCACCACCAGTCAAGCGGGCTCTCTTCAGGCCTCCAGAACTGACAAGAACACTCTTGAGTGCACGAAGTCCGAAGTCGTAATGCGCTTGCTTGGACAGCTTGTCCGAGCACCTGTCGAAGAATGGCACAGTCTGCTTCGATAGGGACTTGGCTTGGTTGAAACCCTGAGAGTAAAGCATAACTTCTGCGATGAGCTCTTTGTCAGGCTTGGACATGGCCACGCTACGGAAGAGCTTCTTCAGGTTGTCTGGCAGGTTGGAACGACCGGCATATCCGGGGTTCATTGTGATGAAGATGCCGGTGTTGGCGTTCACGCGGAGCTGGCGACCAACGAGCTCAATCTGGGACTTATCATCCTCAGCACCTTGCTTGAGACCAAGCTGAATGTTTTGAATCTGCTGTGACACGGCAGACAGGATTCTCTCCTCGAGGCGGTTGAACTCGTCGAAGCAGCCCCAGGCACCGACTTGACAAATACCCAGGAAGATACGGCCCATGGCCTGGAAGTCGAAGGTGTCGTCACAGCAGAAGACGAGGGTGAAACGTCCAAGTTGCAAGCCGAGTGCCTTAACCGATTCTGTTTTTCCCGTACCAGCTGGTCCGTACGGTGAGCCACCGAGACGTTGTTCGAGAGCTTGGGTAAGGGTGAGGAAGCATCGATCGGTAAGAGGGGTTCGGACGAGACGATCTGGCACTCCTAGATACTCGAAGCCATAGTTGAGCTTGGCATTGGCCATCTTGACCTGCAGACGCTGCTGGAAGTCGCCTTCTGGCGTATATACGTAGCGCATCTGCAAGAGCCAGAGGTAGTGAGTCGGCGTGGTTGCATTCAGCTTCATAAGCTTCTCAACGCAATCCCGTTGATGAACACACTCTGTAATCAGCTGCTCACACTTCTTGCGCTGGATAACTTCGAGGTCCCCGAGCACTGTGTCGGCAAGATGGCGAAGCACCTGCACCTCCCGGTCAAAGAGCGACTGAAGCGTCACTCCTCCGTCGGCAAGGGATTGTTCTACAGCTGTCGTCCAAGCCGCCTGGGCAGCCAGGACAACTATCTGACTGGGGAATGCGTCCATGAACTCGATCAAGACTGGCTTGCCAATACTCTCAGACTCGAAGATGGGCGTATACTGGGCGATAGCGTCGGCAAGAAGCTCGGCAAGAGTCGACTTCATGCCATTTTCTAGAAGCGGCAGCCAGCCATTGATGCGGGGCGCCTTGACGAGAGAAATTTCCTTCCTTTAGTCGAAAAGCCTCTTCCCTCTTTGGAAGGAAAGCCAGAAAAGATGGTCTCATCGTCCATGATCAGGCCGGAAAGACCAGCAAACATCTTCTTGAAATGCTTGGCGATGCGAAGAGTATCATTGCTATTACCTATCATCTCGAGAAGGTCTTCATCACCAACGAAATAAAATCTCGGGAAAGACACACGCTCCTTTTCGAGGTATTCACCAAGGGCCTTTTGGATCTTGTTGAGCAGCTCGGCGAGACGCTCCAGGGACTTCTGCACGTTCGCGATGCCGAGGACATCCAAAACATAGGGCTGCTTGTAGACTTTCTTCATGACGGTAGAGAACTCGCTGTTGATGTTTTGGAATCGTGAGGATTCGATGGGAAGCAGATGCTTGATATCGGCATTGCCTGTGAAGACACCCTCCAGGTAGACCCATTGGCGCTGCACATCAATCCAGATGTCGAAAAGGACATGGACGCGGTTGAGCTTGTCCTCCCACGAAGAAGCTTCCTCTTCAAACTCCTTGTAGTAAGGAGAATGTTTCATGGCCTGTAGAGAGTTCAGGTTTTCGCTGCACTTGGTGAAGAGATCGTCCCAACCTCGAATGAGGCGACATTTGTTCTGGTAATTGACGAGCTCGAGTGCGTAATTGGTCCACGTCTCGCGAACCTGCTTCAAAAACTCTTCCAGAGCCATTTCTCCTTGAGCTTGGGCTATGATGTCCTTGACGATGACTTCTGTAGCAACGAGGTTGAGATCCCAAACGTCACCCAGTGTCAACGACACCGGCGAATACCGCTTCCCGGGTCTGATCTGCTTGTAGATCTTGGTCCAATGGCGATCGCGAATGGCCTCGGACTTCAGGTCAGAGAGAAGGGAGTTGACCTTGAGATAGCCCCTAAGGATGGACTGGACATGTTCGAAAGCGGCATACTGGCGCATGCGGCTGGGCATCTCCTTGGTGCTCTTAAGGAGGTCGTCGATCTTGGATCGCACCTTTCGGGGCTGGACAGCAGTCCAGAGTGTTTCTTTCGTCTCGTTGAGGCTAGACCAGATTGTGGAAAGATTGGACCAGACGGACTGGAAGTCGTGAACCTCCTCGAGAACAGCGGCCAAAGAGTTGTCAACATTGGCGGGGAGGTCGAGCGCCTCTTTCGCCTTGCCAACCATCTCAGACTCGTTCTGTAGCTCGGACAGCTTGGTTTCAAAGCTAGCTAGAGTGGCAGAGGCGTGATCGGGCTTGATAGTACCTGACACAGGCTTCTCTTCGTTCCACTGAGCCGTGATCTCGGCAATCTTGTCGCTGATGTGCTTGTCTTGGGCCGTAATCTTTGCACGTAGAGCGTCGGTTTGGTCTTGAACGACCTTAGCCTTCTTCTCTAAGATCTCAGTCAGGGATCCCCAAGAGTTGTCGATCTGCTCAATGTGCAACCAGTCATTGGGAAACTGGTAGCGTTGCCGGACAAGAGTCGACTGTCCCTGCCTGAACATGTCAATCTCGGGTGCCCAAGCCTTGACGTTACGCTTGCAGCTTTGCACAATGGTGATGAACTGTACAGCCTGAGCAGTCGAGGATGCATCCAAACGCGGGCCCTCGAGCTCACGGCGAGCCTTCTCAATGTCGGCATGAACCTCGCGCATGCGAGTGCCGAGCCGGCTTGCGAACTTCATGAGAATCTCGTGTTGCCACTGATCATACTTGGCATTGACTCTGGTTTGAACCTGGTCATAATCAATGGTGGTGTGACCGAACTGACGACTGACTTCCTGGGTGTCGAACGTCTGGCGCGTCTTGCGAATCTCCTGGAGAAGTTGGAGCCACCTTGACAGTTGGTCGCCGAGAACTTCGTAGACCTGCTCAGATTGAAGGTCCCAGAGCGATTGGAATTGTAACCACTTATCGACATAAGCGCCAAGCTCCCGTTAACTTCTTCTCGACAGACACGTAGACCCGGCTCAGGAATCCACCACAGTGGCCAGGCAAGTCGTCGAACCGGGGTTCCTCAGAAGTGCCGTGGTGAGGGTCATCTGGTACCGGGTAGCCTTGATCTTCTCATGTGCAGACACCACCAAACCAATTCGTGAAAGATGGACGAACCAGCTCGCTCTGGCAAATTCCAGAGGCGGGTCCAGGTAGATGACTTGGTTTCGCATGGTAAGTTCGTGGACCAAGCGCTTGATCGTCGGGCCCTCCGGTTTCGCCTCATCATTGCTCTCGTTGGCTCTCTTACGTCGGCCGTCGTCAAGATAGTCATCTTCAAACGCCTGAATCCATGACTGGATGGCGTGTTGCAGACGCCCAAGAAGCACTTCCTTGATCTTTTGGTTCATGTTCTCGACCCAGTAGGGCAGGTTGACGTACTGCTCTAGGTTCAGCTGGTCAACGGCCTTCTGGATGGTCTCGAGGCGGGACTGAAACGCGTATGGTTCGTATGGACATGTGCTGAGCTGTGACAAAGCATCTTCGATTGTAACATGGATCGACGTCAGGAAGGCAGTCTTGCTCTGCATCAGCGATGCAGCAGCGGCAAACTCGCGGATGAAAAGACTGTGTTTGCTTTCTGCGCTTCGTCCTGCGAGACCGTACTCTGTGCCGGCTGGAAGAATGGAACTATTCTTGCCCGAGAAGAAGAGCTCGTGGGTGTTGACAAACGATTCCCAACGCAGCGGCACACCCTTGTTGACCAACGCATAAGCTTCGTTTCGGTAGCCAAATAATAGAACAGCTTCTTCGCCCATCTCGGAAATCTGGCGTGTGATCTGCGAGAAAGTGCGAACACTCTCCATGAGACTGACGGCGAATGGATAGACCCGTTTCGCATCTTTTGAGACGGTGTTGATGGAATGGGGAATGTTGTACTCCTGCCACATCAAGTTGCGAGTCTCTTTGAACAACGTGATGACCTGCGGATCAAAGTTGACAAGCAGTTCGAGGGTGCCACCAGCAGAACGGATTCTGCGAATATCGAAGAGGTAGCCGGAAATAGAGATCTGACGCCTCTGGACATCGCTGAGCCAGGACTCAAAGATTGGCCGGGTGTTCAACTTTTTCCTGAACAGGTTGCTCTCATTTTCCAGCTTCTGTCCCTCGGCGTGCAGGGACCAGTCGGCACCGAGAACATCTTCAACCTTCTTCATGTAACCGTCGAGTTGAAACTCAATCTGTCGAGCCCATATGATCGCACCAGAGACGGGAGGCAGATCTCGTAGTTGGGCCATGGCATGGGCTTCCGAGTGGCCGTACTGTTGCTTGAAGCGCTCGTGAAGTCCATTGATGGCCTGTTTGACGTGCTCCATGAGCTGATTCTGGTACTCTGCAATGGCGCCCCTGATCTTGGGGCGTACGAAGAGGGCGTTAAACTTGGAGAAGACGCGGAACATCTCGTTGGCGTTCTTTGCGGTTCCGAGGCGATCACGCAAACGTGAGATGATGGAATTCTCGACTCGCGAGGTCCGCTCATTGTAGAGGTTCTCCGCTCGGGCCCATCTCTGAGTACCCTCGGCGGACACATCCAGAAGATCGACATTGCGTAGAGCTTCCCAAGCCTGTTTGACTTCCTCAACGGCGTCCACATCGCCCATCTCCTCCATGACGATGGCTCCATTCGACACGGTAGTCTCGTCAGCAACGCCAGACGTGGCCTTGGATCCTAGGACGTTGACAATAGTGAGCTGCAGTTGTTCGTGATTGTCTCGAAACGTGCTGACGTAGTTGAGTCGCGCCTGGAGTTCGAAAAATCTCGGGTTGCCTTCGATGGGGATGAACCTTTCGTTCCTCCTGCGCGTGACCTCACGAGCAACATTTGTAAACTCTTTGATGCTGTCGTCCCACGTCCGGAAGATGTCATCGCAAGCCTTCATGATACCCTTAAATTCCTGGTAATCGAGGTTCACCATCTCAATGCCAGGGAGCAGTCGGTGAAGAACGTCGTCTAGGTCGGCCGAGATTGCTTCCACCAGCCCCAAAGCCCTTCGAATGGGATAGGGGCAGATCCTCAGTTTCTTGTTCAAGTGACTGAAGATCTGTACAATGGCGTCCTGGAGCTTCGAAAGAGATGTCGCAGAGAGAAGCTCGTCGAGGGGAAAGTCTCGCATCAACTGGTTGTACTTTTGGACCTTCTCCACGGCTTCTTTCAACCCGGTGTCGGCGACAAAACTAACGGTTGCCTGGAAACGCTTTGCGTTCTTTAGAATATCGAGAGTCAATGTCACTCCGTCACTACGCAGCTGTGCATCGATACCCTCCAGTGCCGACTCCATGGACAGCCAGAAGTTCACTTCTTGACTGGCTGTAAACTTGAAGTCTTGCGCAGAGTTGCCGGATGGGTCTTTGGTCATCTTTGTGATGACTTGAATCGACTTAATCCAGCTATTGACGTTGCTCTGGAGGTTGTTGAGGAAGCTGCTGTCGCCAAGGGTCGCGGCAGGAATCGATTCAAGATTTGGCTTCGAGTGCCTAGATGCGGCATCGTCAAGAGCACCTTGGACGACATGGTGAAAAATAAGCGAGACCTCCGGGATCTCAACGTTCTGTTGCAGATGCAGCAGACTAAGTTCCAGATCGTTCCACCTCTTCTTCGTAACCGGGATACCTGTCTTGGAGTCGACGTCTCCACGGCCTCGTGAGCCGTTTGCCAGCTGTTGGCTCTTGGTATTGGCATCGAAGTACGGGGCCAGCACGTGGTGAACGTAAGAGTGCAGAATCTCGAAAGCTGAAGTGGAAGGGCCCTGTTCGCCAACGGTGGCATTAAGAGTAGCCGGGCCCAGGCAGATTAGTAAGAAGTAGTTGAGAGGACAGGGGAAGCGCGGGATCGATCGGCTGCGAACGCTTGAGGAGACTGAGCGACGAAACGGTTGTGGGAAGAGAGGAGATCTCAGGTGTGAGGGTGTACGTATAGAATGGTGCTTCTGCGAGGTGTTGAATATTAGTGACAAGCTGATCAGGTCTGGGGGGGGGGGGTTGCTTGACGCACTCGACTCCTCGTCACCGTTCTGGATGCCCGATGATGGAATTATGTCCTTTTGGATGTACAAGGTTGTCTGAACATCCGTGGCAAATCGGTTGCAACGCTGTATCGTATCGGTGTAGCGGCTCTTATGCAACAAGCTGCCAGAAGCCTCAAGATCTTCTCTGGTTGCTCCGAGAGCTATCTCGCAGGCAGAAACGAGGTGCTCGACAACGCGTACCGGGTCGATCGTTGGGAAGGGAGCCGCAGCAACCCCATTTGCTCCAGGGCTTTGTGGTGATGCCACCTCCATGTCGAATGGTCGGTGTCTGTGGTCGTGATGGGTATCTAGAGGGACGCAGTCGTCATGGTCGAGACGTGATCGGTTTGGCTGAACAGGTAGTAAACTCAGGGGTGTCGATGGAGCGGGCGGCCTAATCGAAGGATGGTGTGATAGAGCTCTTGCACGCAAGCAAAGAGGACGTTGGGGGTGAGAGATATTAGAGGGCGAAGTATCTCAGGTTATCCGCTGCCTATCCTGCTGCGTTTGTGAGGCAGCAGCTGTGTTCGTGGTAGAAAAGAGTTGTGGATTAACCTGCAAGTCCATGCCAACACCTTGACTGCCCAAAGCAAGAGGTAGGCTCCCCCAAGTTTTACGCGACCCAGATTACCGTATGGACCCCAGTCGCGACGGCATGTGTCAGGAGACGTGTGGCCAGTGGTGGGTCGGCACGGCTACAGATTGTGGGGCTCATTTGGTTGGATAACTGCAATCTACCAGGGGGCCATCCACTACTGGTCTCACCAAATCAACGCCCCCAGTTCATACCTAGGTAAGGTAGGGTAGGCACTGTTCCCTACCACTAGTTACCTAGGTGGCTAGGTAGGTAGTCCTAGAGCTTCATGTCGATCAAACGTACCAAATCGGGCCACCTGATCCTCGCCGACCTCCATTCCAACACGACTACTCCGGCAACTAGACCGACTGACTGCCGCATCAATTATATGATGAACTTGGACGGCAACGCGTCAATAGCACAGCCTTCTCTCTCCATCAGAAAGCCACAAGGCTTCAGGCCTAGCCATTTCTCCCCCATTTTCCTTTAGCCAAGTTGCGGAGTGGATTGTACGTCTGATCAAATAGGGACGGCGGTGCAGCTCGTTCCTGCATCAGAATCAACTAGCTGTGGGTACCTGCTCAGTAGGTCTCAGCCGTGGAACCTTACAGATTGAACCCGCGTAGCTTGAGCCTCGTTGTCAGTCTATGTCAACCTCTTAAAATTGGGCTATGGCAAACATCGTAAATGGTACAATGTTGGCGAAGACGGTTAAATATTTAAATTTCAAGCGCTAGCAAATAATGCACCATGCCCTTGTCCTTATCCCGTCGACAACCCGGCATCCGTGTTTGTTCCGCGACGATTCCGCATGAAGATCTATCTAAACATCACTCGAAACTTCCCTTGCTGTGAGCCATGCAACACAAGACGAGCCACGATGCCGTCCTGAGCAAAACCTGTACCTTCCATCCGTTTCAATGCATGCGCCGGTTACCACCATGATCCCTTCGTCCATCTGACGAAACAAAGCAAGACAACTGTAAATCCAAGAAAAATCAACGTCAACGTTGCTCCCCAGGTGCCGTGCCCGTCAACGCCCCGACCGATGGCCCAGCAGACGACCCAGCCCCGGCGCCGCTTTCCGGCCCTGAGAGCCTTTCTCGCTGCACCATGACCCGCTGATTGCAGATATCAATGAACATCTCGAACTTGCGAATGATTTGTTCCTTCTCCTCGAGCTTCGACTTCAATCCTGCAATCTGTTTTTCGGCATCCTCGGTGAATTGCGCAAAATCCCGGCGCGTTTTGTCGAGCTCCCGACGGAGATCGGCTCGAATTCGCTCCTCGGCAGTTGGCTGCGGCTTGCTGTAGATCGCAGGTCGGGAAT